TAAGAACTATCGAAAAACATTTATTAGGGACAACATTATGATTCTTCAGTTTGTCTATGCAACTCTAATTAAGCATCTACAAAAGTTTTCTTTAGCTTGCATGTAATTAGGAATTTTTGATGATTTACAAATCACTCTTTCCTTGCCTTTTGGTGAAAATTCATTTCATATGTTCACAAAAGATCCTTTTGGAACATAAATGAAATTGAGATAATGACACAAGAGACCTTATTTGACAAATCTACATGTTTGTGGGAATAACAACTTAATTAAAGTTAACACATTATTTATTTTAGTGATATGCTCATCAAGGACATCTTTCATAATATCAAAATCAAGGAAGTTCCCATAACAAATGAGCTATTCCCTAGGGAGAACAAAGAGGAGCTATAATTTGAAAGTGCATGAGGTGGAAGACGATTTCTATCTAACCTAAGCGAGCAAGTTTAAAGATTCGATTAAATCCTTAATTATTAACCTAATTTTAAACTAAAGTTAGGATCCATATTCCGATTCATAATATGAAGAGAGATGTTGTAGTCACATCATGAATATATTGTAAGTGGGTAAAGCACTTTACAAATTTTAATCACAATGAAATTCCTAGATCTCTTGAGATTCATCGAACTTAAATGGCATGTGAAGCTTGAATTATGCTCTTACAATTGTCGCTGGGATACCGAGAATCACAAATAGAATGTGAATAACCATACAGACTCGTGTGGCACCCTCGATATCGTTTATGATCTCACATTGACATGGCGATTAACCACACACGCTCTATCCACAAATATACATTTAAATTATGTATAATCGTTTCAACTTTGTAGTTTCATATTAGTGTGACAGTTAACTACGCGCGTTCCACTAACGACTCACAAAGAAATAATGTGTATTTTCATGGATTAACATACAATTTTATATTTTTCTTAAACTAACTCGAGTAAAATTTTATAGAATGTTATGATACATTTACAATACACTTTTAATATGATTAGTGTCCTGTTGATATCATTTCGGCTAAAAACACTCAACCATACAAAGACGCGGTGGGTGAAAAGAACACTCATTTAAAGGTCATTTTATAAACATTTCGTTTTACCTCTCTTATAGTGTAGTTTCGTGAATGATACATACTCTTGATTCGACAGAGATAATGTTTTTTCACATATAATATTATAACCCTTATATATATATATATATATATATATATATATATATATATATATATATATATATATATATACCTCTCTTATAATGTAGTTTCGTGAATGATACATACTCTTGATTCGACAGATATAATGTTTTTTCACATATAATATTATAACTCTTTATATATATATATATATATATATATATATATATATATATATATATATATATATATATATATATATATATATATATATATATATATATATATATATATATATATATATATATATAGGATCGTATAAGAACGAACCAATCTCGTCCTTTACTCTTCAAAATTAGAGGGCATTTGTTAACTGTTATTTTCGTTTTTTCATTTAAATTCGAAATGACACATTTTATAATTACTTTTAAATATTTTGAAATTTTCATCAAAGGGTTAAATGTTGGGGGTTAAAATACGCTAAGGGTTAAATGTTGGGGGTTAAAATACGCTAAAGGAAGAAAATTTGAAAGTAAATCAATGAACAAACATGCTCACTAGAGGCACATGATACCTTATTAGGGCTGTAAACTAACTGAACGTTCGGCGAACCGTTCGTGAACTGTTCGGCGGGAAGTTCGTTTATGTTCGTTTATTTAATAAATGAACGAACATGAACAAAAATTATCGTTCGTTTAGTTAAATGAACGAACATGAACAATGGTCATGTTCGTTCACTTATGTTCGTGAACGTTCGTTTATGATGTTCATTTACGTTCGTTTATGTTCGTTCATTTAAGTTTATTTATATTCATCTATATTCAATTATTTTTTATTATATTGCTATATTATATGTTCGTTTATGTTCATATATGTTTAATTGTGTTTTTTTTATCTTTGTTCGTTTATGTTTGTTTAGCATGTTCACGAATATAAATGAACGAACATGAACAAAGTAATTTATTAAACGAACGAACATGAACAAGAAAATCTCGTTCGTTTATCCGTTCGTGTTCGTTTTGTTGTTCGGTTTTTTTTTTCATCCGCATATTTTTTCGGTCATAATATTTTTTTCTTCGAAAAAAAAATTAAAAAAAAACCAAATTTATTAAAATTTTATTCTCTACAAAATGAACATAATCATGAAAATTTGAATTTTTTATTTTTTATATTTATAAAAAACTCAGAATAAAAATCTAAAAAAACTGTAAAAATTTATGGAATATTTCTACTCACTATTCTAATGACTTTGTAAAAATAATTTTTAAAAATAAGGTGTTTAAATACCAAAGTTGATTTTAAAAGATTTAAAAAAAAAAAAATTAAAAATATTGAACATAATATGATACAAATAGAGATGATTCAAAATATATATGATTCAAAAATATTATAATTCAATATGTTTATGATCCTTAACTTGTTATGATTTAAAAATGTTTTGATTCAAATATTTAATGATCCTTAATTATTATATTTTTTTGTGATTCAAAATTAAATTATTCAAAAAGTATAATAATCAAATTGTTGTATTGAACAAAAAAACTTTATATAATTCAATGTATTATGATCCAAAATATATGATGCATAATACCATTATGATTCAAAACACTACTAGAAACTGAGGCATAGCGACAGACATTTCCGTCGATAGTCCGTCGCTAAAGGCTATCGGCACCGAATTGCTGGTCGAAAAAACCGTTGTCGCTAATAGCCAGCAACGGATGTAGCAACTGTTTATTGACAGATTTGCTACGGTACAAATTGCTCAATGGATCTCTTGATTCAAATGCTAAGCTGTCGCTAATAACCATCGAAAAGCAGTCGCAAATCGGTCGCTAATTATCTCAGAAACACATCAGATTCCATCGCTAGTCTGTCGCTAATTTCCGTCACTAATGCATTTTAACAATTAATTTTGATGAATGAATAAAATTCGATTTTTTTACAAAAGTATATTAAAACTCAGCTACTAATTTAAATATTAATATTCAACTATAGTTTTTATGCATATACATTAGTAAATAAAATTCGACTTTTTATACTTTAGCATCTTCAAATCTAGGAAAAAAAGCACAAAAGTTACATTAGTATCATAATAAACATTTAACTATAGTTTATATACATATACATACTGTCCAACAATGTTGAGGCAAATCATCTTCCTTGTTGATGGGTGAATAGGAATTTGATCCAACACATATGATCCTCTCACCCTTTGAGATGAATCAACAAGATTTATCAACAGAATTAGATCCCACACTTGGTATAGCACCACATCATAAAGCATATTTCCATACCTGTTCTGCATACCCAAATAACACAACATCTTTAGAAGTTCTTTTTAAACATAATAACTTCCAAAATTATGTCAAATAGTATAACTCTGAAAACAAAAAATGAACAATATGCAATCTCTTAGATTAACATTAGAAATTAACAGTATTTGTAGTGAAATACAAAAGAAGGATAGTCATATTAAGTTGTACTTTATGCTTTCAGTCAAATATAAACATGCATATATAGATTAACGAATTATGTCATGTCCATTTTAAGTCTATTAAGTAAAAAAGAAATATTATAATAGTGTGTCAACATGTGAAAGGGAAATATACAACAAGCCAATAACACTTTGTAAGGTAGTAATTTTTACCTTAAAAATGTAATTCACCTGTGTTACTATCATGCATATATGGTCCATTCCGGTGACCCATAAGGTATTGTATTCTGACATTCTTCTCCAATGAATAACCATATCCTACAACAACAATCATTATCATTTGATAACTTCTGATGTATAAGGATCATAATGTTCTTAGAATGTGAATCAAATAAATCAATTAACCATCCAAATAATATTAATATAATTTACTCATGTAAGATACTACGTAACATATTAACAATACATTAAGTTTGGTTGCTTTCATTTTTTTTGTACTTTCAATCTTTTTATTTCTCTCTATTGCCTGGTTACCAAAGAAAAAAATGAACTTGAGCTCCTACTTCAAACACATAATATATAAATCCAGTGCTTTTAGGCAAAATTGAATCCCAAGCTATGGGTATTTTATCATAAAAAAACATATGATTAAGGTTAATCACTAAAGAACAATGACCATGACTTTTTTAGCAGAGAAAAGTACGAAATTAAACAAAAAGACTACCTCTATAAATAATTCTTGTGGTATGAACTTGGACATTGCCTGCAAAAGTAAAATTGGAAGTCTTCCTCACTTTAACCTTTATTTGCTTACACACAACACATTTATGAGCAATACATATGAATAGTTCCCCTTCACTAACGTTTTATTTAAGATACTTTAAGGATTCTACATATAGCTCGAGCACATTTGTAACGCCTGCTTATTTATTAAATAGATAAATAAAATAATGAACGAATAACAGCCCTAAAATAAATAATTATATATCAAAGGATGGCCTCGAGGAGCTAATTGTCACAATTTTAGAAGTCGGGGGTTAAAAGTGTAAGTTTCGGATGGGTTCCGTAAAGAATTATGAGGGCAGGGATTACTAGGTAATTATTGGAACTTCATTTGAAAAGAACTTGTGGAGGAGGGGCAGTTTTAGTAAAAACCGGACCTGAATTGTAAAGAATTTAATGTTAAGGGTTTGAATGGTAAATGTTGGCCTTTATTTGAAAGAAATGTCAAGGGGAGGGGCCATTTGTGGCATTATGGAAATGAGTTTGTCGGAGCATCGGGGGTATATAACCCGTCACCCCCGTCCATACCCTAACCCTAAGAAATCCATCTACAGCCGCCACCTCTCCCACCCTTATACCTTGCTCACCGGTGCCACCATCTTCAGACCTTCCTACCGCCATTCATCAACCTCCAGCCGATGCCTTTCATTCGTGTTCCGATCCGGCGAGTCTAGCCTCCTGTTGCCGCTGCCTCACCATCCAAACGCTACAGCGAACACCAAAGCCTCCATCGTTCTCATTCTTCTTCTCCTTCTTCAATTGCCGTTGTGAGCGCCGCTGCAACGCTGCTGCTCTACTTGCTGCCGCGTCGACGAGGAAGGTCTCTCCGCTGCCTGATGATGTCGTAATGACGTGAGTGGCTAGGAAACACCCCCACCGAGACCGTGTGTGGGCTGTGAGCAAAGAAGAAAAGTTCGTTGACGACCAGAACCACCGGTTGGACCAACCTCATCTCGCACCTCCATTCTTCTCTAGTGTTCGACGTCGTTCAGGCTGTTGTTGTCGTCGGAAGTGGCCCTTGGCCGCCACTGCTGTCGGCGCTTTGTAATTCTGTCGCCGCCAATAGCCACCAGGAGGGTGACTGGATCCGTTTGCAAGTAAGAAAAGTGTGTGGGTGTTTTTTCTTTTTGTAGCATGTGTTATATGTGTAGCTTGTTGGCCAGAGAACCTAGAACAACCACCGCCACCACCATGAGGTGGTGGCTGCCACCTTCTACTACCACCGGCCACCATAGGGTGGCTGTGTGTGTTTATGTTGTTTGGTGTATGTGTTTATTTCAAGTTTTAGCATTGTAAAATGTAATTGGAATGGAATAATGAGAAAGAAAGTCAAACCACCACCTTAGGGTGGTGGATGCCGCCACCGACCGCCATGTCGGGTGGCGGTGCGCTTTGCCTAGTGCTGTTGATTCGTTTAAGGTGCTTGAAACCCTAATGGGCCCAATGAAGCTTAATGGACTCTAATGGACCCAATAAAATCCTTTAGGCTTAATAATATTCTTGTGGGCTTAATAGGCCCAATAAATCCCTAATTGACCTAAAAGCCCAACAAATTGACTAGTGGGCTAGTATATGGATTGGAAACCCTAATTTGGGTTTTCAATAAAACCCTAATTTGGGGAATTAGTCGGGAGACACGGTATTAAATAATAAACATTGGCAAGATTAATCTAAGTGATATTGGACTTAATGGATTAAGTCCTTAGAGGAATGATTCTTTAATGGGTTAAGTAGGAAACTTAACCCTAATCGGCATTATATGTGAAACGCTAACATCACTTGGGTTTATTGTTGGGCCTTTCTATTGGGCCTTGATGATTGGATTATTAATGGGCCATCCAAGAATAATTATATAAACTAAAATAATTTAATGGGCCTAGGGTAAGTCCCATGTAAGGGGTTGTGCCCAATTTGGAAAATTGGGCCATAGATAGGCCATAGTTGGGCCTTAGTGATTGTATAATGTTGGGCCTTAGAATAATACGACATATAAGCGTGGGCCCAATTTGGAAAATTAGGCCATATGCTTGGCTTTGATTTCTAGTTGGCTTTGGGCCTATGGATTGGGCCTTGGGCTTATATGAGCCAAGCTTAGGGTAATGAAATAGTTATCCAAGTATGTATTATGGTTATGTGTTGGGACCCAATTATTAATTTGGTGTTGTTTTGGTGTTGACAGTTCGGGAATCTGTCATCCAACAGCTGGGGTTGAGTCCGTGGGACTTCAGCAAGTGTGGGATTATGTCTATGGGACTTCAGCAGTGTGAGGTAAGTTACCTTCCAGTAGCGGTGGGTCTACGGCCACAATGTCGGCCCACCAGTAGGAGTTGTATGTTAGATGATTGTCTTTGTGATGTCACCTATGTTTGCTAGCACATGACATGTTATATGTGATAGTAGTAGAGTTCGGTGGTTAGGACCGAAGGGTAGGCCAGAACTCTAGATATGTCTGACAGTATGTGATGATATGTTTATATGCTGGCATGATATGTTATATGTGATGGTGGCAGTATGAGGGGAATAGTCCCAAGTTTGGTTGTTAGGACCGAAGGGTAGTTCGGACACCCCAGATATGTCTGATAGTATGTTCATGTTATGATTTATACGATAGTAGTAGTAGGGGGTGGAATAGTCCCCGAAGGTCGGTTGTTAGGACCCACGGGTAGGTCACCACCCCAGAATGGCTTGACATGGGTTGGTCAGCACCCCAGAATGGCTTGACACGGGTAGGTCAGCACCCCAGAATGGCTTGACACGGGTAGGTCGGCACCCGAAAATGGTCGTATCGGGTAGGTCCGGCACCCCAGAATTGCCTGACAGTATGTATGTTATGTGATTGTATGGTATGTGGTATGATGGGGGAACTCACTAAGTTTCATGCTTACGGTTTACAGTTTTGGTTTCAGGTATTCATTTTCAAAGGAAAGGACCCAGCTTGATTGCAACGCATCACACTATGGTTTCCCGAAAATGAGATCTTTGGGATTACACTCTAATATTGTTTTATGACATGTTTTTATTATTTCTACTTTGGTTTTGACATGACAAGATATTACGGATGTTTTATTACACTGTTGGTTTTCTAATAACGTATTTAAAAATGAAAATTTTGGCCTGTATTTTTGAGATGTTACAAGTTGGTATCAGAGCCTTGGTTTGAGGGATTCAGGCACACTCCCGGGTGTGTCTGAACTCAAACTAAGGAATTGGTATGAAAATTTTCAAAAGTAAAACCCTTTTATAAAAAAAAAGAGTTTGAAAAGAATCTGAAAAGAGAAAAGAACTTTGAGAAGAACAAAGTGTGTGATGCGTGCAATCAGCCGAGCTCAAGTAAGTGTTCCCCAAGATACCCTTACATGTTCTGTTATGGTATGATTTTATATGATTATGAGAATTGAATGCTAGATTAGGGCTAAGGATCTAGGAGGATGCCTTATATGCCTATTGTATGTGCTTGTAGACTTGCATGCTAGTACTGATCAGTCAGTAATAGGATAGCCTGTTTAGGTTATGCCTGATTATAGGAGCGTTTAAATTGCATGTACAAATTCCTGATTAGATGATAAAATGATTTGATTGGAATATGATGGTTAGATTTTCCATTGTATGAATGTTGCTTGCTTTTTGCTTTGTGAGACTCTTAGTAATGTGAGCTAACTATTAAGTGAAATGCTAAGTCACATGGGACACAGGCCGGATAATCTCAGAGTGAGAGACTTGACCCTATTGTGTAGCTCTTGTCTGAGTCCAAACGTTCTCAGGATGGGTCTTTTACTCGAAGGATTATCTGATCTCTGTTGCATGTGGCTATATTCATGAGTTAGCTAGTTGACATTACTGGGAACCCTTCAGAAGTTGAGGACTGGGTGAGTTCAGGAACCTAGCAAAGCCTAGGATACATTTAAGTGGGTTAGTAGTGACGATGATTCAGACTTGGGGAGTACCAGTTTGAGGAAGTGACTTGGAGGATTCGGGAGGATTACTGAGGAAAGTATGGATATGTGTGGGAGGGTAGTATTGGGCCCGTACTACTGAAAGCACAGGATCCATACTCGAATCAGTGAGAGTCTTGGAGAACCTAAGAAGCTTCGAGAAAGAGTTAGTGAACCAGTTTGAGGATAGAGGATGTTCCAGTGTTGCAACTTGGCCATTGGCAACTGAGCTAGCAAGCGTGACAGGGTGTCAGACCCTGAAGGATATGACTTCCAAGAGTTTATAGATCCGAGATAGATTTGGAGCACTTTGAGAAAAGGTTCGTTCCAGGTGAGTGTAGTAGAGGGTCCCGAGAAGAGACCCATGACTCTGATCATCGAGTGAAGGGACAGCAGGGCAGGGCCAGAGTCAGTGCAACACGTACATGACAGTGTACAAGGGAGTTTGTCGCTCCGAGGGTTTAGGTTACTACAGGGTAGCGGGGTTGGTCATGTCAGCAGAAGGTGATCAGTATTCCTTTACATGCTACGGTTATGTCATCTTCTATTGCTGCTAGATGGATGTTGGGAATACGTACCGCTTTGGAATTGTGAGTGAGTTTGGATAAGTCAGGGATCGAGTTGGTTTCCTGCTAGTGTTTGGGGTTATCAAGGATCATATATGCCATCCTCCATGCCGAAAAGTCCTTGATGAACTCACAGAGGGATGCATCTTGCGGAGCGGGCTTCACATGTACTATTATCATTCCGGATCTTTGTCGAGAACTGTGCAGGAGTGTTGTTGGAAGATCCTCGGCCAGGGTTAGAGTGATAGTTCTCCAGTGAAGTCAGTGTTTAGGGATTCTATCATTGTTCAGGTATGGACGGTAATTGTCTATGGATGAACTTTGGAGTTCAAGGCACTACCATTGCCAGGGCAGAGCTGGTGACATGAGAAGGGTAGTGCCAGTCATGCGTGTTCAATGCACAAGTAGTTGGTCATCGCATGTTCAAGATAATTGTATTTTCACATGGGCTGTGTTCGGTTAGAGTTCAGTGATATTGCAAGAATGAAAGTGGGAATAAGTATTCATCTGCCAGAGTGAAGATTAGAGCCTCTAGTTGTCAGCATGTGAGATGGATTGAGGTGTCATACTAGATTAGATTTCAAGAGTACTCATCAAGATTTCCGAGGATGGGAGATCTCAAGGTTTAATCGGTGATTAAACGCTAGCATAGGCAGGTACAGGTTGTCATCAGTGGGATATTAGAAAGCGAGAAGGATTGGCAATCCTTCAATTTTCATGCGCGGTGAAGACTTAGTGAAATCTAAGTGGGGGAGATACTTTTTATAAAGTTCTCCAAATGTGTGTTCTGGTTGCGTGGGGTGCGATCTATTGAGCACCTTGTCAACCAAAAGGGTATTTTAGTTGATCCGGCCAAGATAGAGGTCGTGATGCAGTGGGAGATTCCGAGGTCTCCATCCGAGCTTCGGAGTTTCCTAGGTCTAGCAGGTTATTACCGGAGACTTATTCGGGACTTATCTGAGATTGTGGTTCCTTTGACCCGACTGACCAAGAAATCGGTGGCCTTTCGCTAGGGGCATGAGCAGCAGGCAGCCTTAGAGACTCTCAGACAACGGTTGTGCGAGGGACTTATTATCACCATGCTAGAGGGTGTAAATGATTTCGTGGTTTACTGTGAAACTTTGATCATGGGTATGAGTGCGGTACTAATACAGTGGGGTCACGTGATAGCAGGTCTCGGGAACCAGGGTAGAGTTTTGGTTAGGACTCAAGTTCAGTTGTGTGTTAGGCTAAGTGCGTGTTCGAACCAGTATGGAAAGTGTTGTAAGACTATAGGGGTAGCAGTAGCATTCACTAGCAGTTAGATAGTATGGTTAGTGTTGTAAGACTATGGGGGTAGCCGTAGCATTCACTAGCAGTTAGATAGTATGGAAAGTGTTGTAAGACTACGGGGATAGCTGTAGCATTCACTAGTGGTCAGATAGTATGGAAGGTGTTGTAAGACTAAGGAGATAGTTGTATCATCCACTAGTGGTTAGATAGTGATAGAGTGTCGTGAGACTGCGGGTGTAGTCGTATCATTTACTAGGTCGGTAGATGGCATGTGCGTGTTGTTAGAACGCGGAAGAAATAGTAGTACCCACCAGTTCTGGTGCAGCAATGAGGATATGGAACTTCACTGATTGGATTCAACGATATTGATTCTGTATGAGTGGTTTGTCAGGGAATCAAACTGTATCAAGGCAGCAGATTTCAGACGAAGTGGTTGTGATCTTGTGGTGAGGAATTCGTTCAC